CCCCGTGACCCTCGGTGACCCCGGATCGCCCGAGGCTGCACCCCGGCAGGGGCGGGGGTGGAACAGAGCCCGAGCCCCGAGAGCCGTACAGGAAAAAAAAAAAAAAGAAAAAAGAAGAAGAAGAAGAAGGCCGGGGCGCAGCGGGTCCCAGAGCCCGCGGTCCGCCCCCGCCGCCAGGCCGGGAAGCGCAGAGGAGGAGCCGGAGCGGCGAGGCGCCCGGGATCAGTTGCGCACCGGGCTGTGAGGAGAAATCTAATCAGATCTTTGGCGGAGGGGCCGGCCGGAAGCAAGGCGAGGAGTGGGGGGAGCCGAGCCCCAAAATCTTCCGGGGTGGGGGGCGCGCTCCGCGGAGGGAAAGGAACCGACGACGCGAGAGAAGACTATTTTTCCCCCTGGCGGCGGTGGCCGCGGGCGCGCTGCAAGCATGAAGGCTGCGGGACGCAGCTCTGCCCGGGAGCCCGGCGCGGCGGACGCCCTGGCGGTGCGAGGCGGGAAGAGGAACGGAGCCTTTCCCGGATCCTAACGCAGAACGCGTGCACGGGCACCGAGCGAGCTTCGGGCCATGAGATCCACCCGGCTCGGCGCTGCGGGGGTTGGTGCGCTCCGACATAAATAAATAAGCAGAAAATAGCTGCCCCCCGCCCCCCTCCCCCAAGGATGCTTGGAAATGGAGACGCTCGGAGCCGCGCAGGAAAAGCGTGCTTATTTCTCTCTGTAAAGGAGAAAGTACACCCAGGAGATATTTTTGGAGTGAAAAGTTTGAGGCTTTTTTTAGGAAAGTAAAAGACGTGATATGATATTTTTCCCCCTTTTCTTTCTTCTTTATTTTTTGAATTTTCCACAAAAGGAGAGGAAATTAATAATACATCTGCAAAGAAATTTCAGAGAAGAAAAGTTGACCGCGGCGGCACGAGGGGCATGGATTGCGGGAGAGAGAGGAGCAGGGCACGGCGGGATTTGTGCCTGTGGTGACTGGAACTGACGGATAATTGTGGCTGGCTGTTTGTTCATCAACCTTTCACCCCCTTTCATTGCTTTTATTTTTGGTGTCAAGATCCTGTGTTTTCTTTTATTCCTAACCACCTGGATTTCCGTGTGGATACTGCTGTGATCAGTCTGAAATACCGTGAGTGATCTTTATTTTCTTATTTACTCATGAAGAAAAATGTTCATTAATTTAGCGCTGTGATTCGTTTTATCTCCTCTCATTTCCTGTGGTTTTTCAAAGACCTGGTTTGTAGGGCTGGGAAAGGGGACAGGGCGGCCCACGCTTGCTTCCATCGGGCTGGGATCGCCCATAAGCCCATTTGATATCATGATGTAGCTTGCTGCGTCTTGGGCAAATCAATGCCTTTGCAAGGTTCAGTAGGAAAAATAAAATCTCCCGGGGAAAGCTGCTGCGGTGTGGGGTGCTGGTGCTGCGTGATTGACACCGCAGGGTGAATTCAAGTTACGTGGAAGCCCGGTTAGTGGAAACATAAGAGACCCAATTTAAATGGCATCACACAGCCTGACACTGCAGATCAACAGAATGTGCTGCCGGGAGAGTATGATAAGAAGGGAGGCAGGTGAAGAGGGTCCTGGCTGGTGGGAGGGTTGTCTGACTGGTGACCCTGGCCCCAGAACTCACAAGGGTTCTCAGCCATAAAACAGGAAAACCTACTTTTCAGTCCCACCCCATTTCTAGCTTAGGACTTCTTTGGATACCACAGAGGCTCCAGGTAGGCTATAGAGGGCTCGGCCCGCGGGGATTTCTCAAAACCCTTCCCAACACCAGGACCCAGCTCCTGAAAAAGAGGCTGACATGCGTGGGGTCGATGGGAAACATAGAAGCCATGGGGCAGGCGTGTGCGTTGAGCAGTGGTGCTGGGGATGGCCCGGGCTAGTCCAGAGAAGGGGGGAAGGAAGTGCCAAGGGCGCCCAGGGTCCTACAGGCTCGCCTTCTCCTGCCTGCCCGGTGCCAGAGTCAGAGCGCTGGGCTGTTCCGTAGAAGTCGTCTGTACCCTTCCCTGGTTCCCTCTGGAGTCATAGTCCCGTATAACTTTAAAGCCAGCAGACCCCGTGGAGATTTCGTGCCATCGAGAGAGAAGCTGAGGCCTAGAGAAACTGTAACGCTTTTGTTATGGCCAACCCATATGAGACAGGTGACATGCACCTCCGAGAGAGAGAGAGAGAGAGAGAGAGAGAGAGAGAGAGAGAGAGAGAGAGAGAGAACTTTTACCTCCAAAGTGGGTAGGAGTCAGGAGCTGGACCCACGGAGCAAGACTGTCCCTGTGGCCATAGCAGGGGTCCAAGGAAGGCACACTGGACCCAAGGATATAAAACAAAACTTTGCTATTTTAGACCTCAAGGGTCTTCAACATTCTCTTCCTCCTATTTTTCTTTCTTGTTTTCTCTTCCTCTGTCTCTCTCTTCCTGTCACACTCTATCTCTCTTTCTACCTTTGTCTCTCCCATTTCACACAACTCTGACTTTAATGCTGTATCTTTTTAAAACTCAACAACTCGGACACATCCCAAATGAGAAGTGGGACGGCTGTCTGTGGCGGCCCATCTTAGTCCTGGCCGCGTTTAATCCTGTGAGTGGAGGACCCTAGGGAGTCATTAAAGCACTGTGGAGTTAGATTTATGTTAGAGGAGTGATAATGGAAACCAGAAACATCCCGCTAAAAGCATCTGAGTCTGTTCTTCCCCGCACATCATCTATTCTTATCCTTTTCATTACTCCTTAACTAAACTAGCTTACAGCTGAGCACTTCTCTCATTTTCTGGGCACATGTTTCCCGTTGGGACACAAATCAGGCAATAAATTTACCAGCCTATGAGTACAGTTGTTGCAGGGTTTCCCTCCTAAGCACTATAATTTTCTGCATTTTCTTTGCTTGTTTACTGTGTTGTTTATGGACACTGTGAATTTCCCATTCCTGGTCCTAGAACAACTCAAGTCGTATTAAATTTCTGATCAGCAACGACCTAACCCAATAGAAGGCAAAGAAGAAAAGTACAGATCCAGTGATACTTTTACTTTGTACCTCAGGCCCAGGCTCCATGTGAGTTAGGTCTTCCATTCGGGGGAGATTTTGCTTTGTTTAGCTTTCCTGACATCAGGATTTTCCTATCGCTGCTCTAATTGGATCTCCAAGTGCATTTCACTCTTTGACTTCACCCCCTCTTCCACCGTGCCCCCCACAAGAAGAGATTCCTGAGTGAGGTGGGAGGCCAGGAAAGTCGCAGAGGTGGGGGAGGGGCACAATAGACTACATCTGTGTGCACCTCCAGACAGGGCTCCTAGGGATGCGTTCCCTGTGGCGAACGGCTTCCCAGCTTTATGGTTGGGGATGCAGGCTCAGAGCTTGGCTTGGTGCTCAGAGCTGGCCCTGCATTCTACCCAAATTGTTCATGGACACGCAAAGGAACTGTGGCCTCTGCTGTAGCTGGAAATTGACTTTGTCCGTTTACTGGAGCATTTTGAGCAGGTGCCTGTGCAGGGAGATTTGTGGAGGGTGCAGCCCCAGAAGGCTGCCAGGTTTTGGAAGTTTTGAAGGCACCATTCTAAATGTTCTTCTCTAATTCAGTGGCTGTGTCCCCTTTGGGCAGCCTTTGGATTTCCTCTGACCCTCAGTTTTCTCATTCACGGGGTGGTAAGGATAACATCTAATTTGTCCGATTGTGTTATGAATTAAAAGTAATGTTATGTAAAGCCCAAGTAGAATAGCTCCTCTAAGGGGGGCTGTTTGTTATGATGATTCTTGGGTGAATTAATTTGGATTAGCTTTCTGGGAATGAATACTGCCTGATGGAGCACTTTGGAAGCTCTAGTGGCTGCCCTTGTGAAGGCGGGGCTGAGGGGCTGAGGTTAGCGAGGAGGTTGCTCTTGTGAGGTCCTATCAAGTCAGATTGTCTGCAATATAAAGCTGTAAAATGCTGTTTCAGAGGAGAAACCATACCCTGTAAATTTCTTCTGAACCTAGAGGAAAATCTTAGCAAAAATGCTCTCGTGAATATTTAGAGGTGAACAATGCTCCGATTGTGCTTTGCATACTTCTGATCCAAAAGTTGTATCACACAGCACTTGGATTTTAAATTGTATCCTTTTGGCTACACGTGACCTACTCTGGGTCTGGAACATACAACAATGAAGTCTATGCGATTGGATCCCTTCAACCCCATGGTATAAAGTTGTGCTATGAGATGGAGGCCCTGTGCTGCACAGCTAGGGTCTACAGTCCTCGTATCCCCACAGGATCTCCTTGGTAGCTAAGGGGGCACAGCACACTAATGGTTTATTAAAATGCATAGGATTAAGAAGATACGGGATCAAGAAGTTTGGATGCTGATAGGCAATTCCTGAGCTTTGGTATGTGTAAATCTTCTGGTACCAACGTGCAGAGTGGTTTTTTGAAGCAAGCAATGCTGGTCACTGCTTAGCATGTCACTTGCCTGTACTGGATCTGTTCTGTGCATTTCCTCCATATACTGTCAAAGAACTTTTCTCTTGTTAAGGTTAAAAAAAAACCTTTAAAAATGGCTATCATTGTTGATATTCTGCCTGTGGGCAGTATTTTGAGGAGTTGGGGAGTTACTCACTGGAGTTTTCATTATTACTAGTTTTTGAATGAATGAATGAAAGTAATACAAAGTCTTTGTCAGTTTTGGAAAAGTATCCCAAAGTTGACCACTTTTGCTTGTCTATAAACAGATGGAAACTGTATGGAAGCCTTCACCATTTGATTAATTTTAGTTTTTTGTGTACTTTTTAAAGATTATAAAAAAAGAAGAAGAAATCTGTTGTAACATGGGCTTTAGTACCCAAGGAGAATCTACGTACTCCGCAGCTTTTCTCCGGGCCACGTGTCTTCCATGCACCTTGACCTGATCCCTCTCAGAGCAAGCGTGCTTCTCTGTAGAGCAGAGGTCCTAAGAGCAGCATGGAGCTGGTTACTGTGAGGCTGAAATCAGACTGTGTATGTCACACACGGGGAGCATTCAGTACAAACACATTTAAGCTGATCGTTTCTGATTTCAGTTTAGCTGATGTACACTTTGCCAAAAAATAATAATAACGGCATTGCTCTCTGTTGATGGGATGCTGTTAATCCAAGTTCCCACTGGTGTTGATAACAAAAGAGGAGCTGTATCAGACAATTTGGAATCAGAACTAAATGCAAGCCTTTGAGGCAAGCACCTCCCGATTAAAGCTTCTTGGAAATTGCCCTAGTGAATGTCATTTCTTTGACAAAAGTTGGAAAATGTACTTTGTGTGTTGTGTAACATGTATTCTATAGCTATGTTAACTTTCATTTGATTACCAAGTGTTTTAGATCATAAGCACAAAAAAACTAATGATTTGTAAAGGCTCTTAGAGAATAAAGAATATGACACATCTTTATTTTCTTCAAAATTTGTTTCTCTGCACAAATGCAAATTTACCTGAATTTGAAATTTAGGCAGAAAAATTTTCTGAATGAGACAGTTCACTTTCTAGTGGCAAGGACTTTATCTTGTTCTAGTGGCAAGGACTTTATATTGTTCGCTGACCTGGCCTCAGTTCCTCCGAGGTATATGGAACAAATAGTAGACATGCAGTGAGGATTTCTTGGATGGCTAAATTTAAAGAACTACTCTTTCCACAGGCCCCAGATGTGAGCGCACACTCATGTGTAGGCACACGCATCAGCACATACACAGAAGAAGCCCTACATTCAGAAATGGATAGAAGCTTCCTGGGAAGCATCAGGGGATGCAGTGACTCCACATAGCATCCCTTGTGGCTCCCTCTTGCCAGCAACCCTGAGATCTGAAAATACCGTGATCAATATTCTTATTTCCTGTGTTGTTATTAATGAGATGTGGTATTTTGTACCAGCCTCTCTTCTCTCTCCTCCCTCTCTCTCTCTCTCTCTCTCTCTCTCTCTCTCTCTCTCTCTCTCTCTC